TAATAATAGTAATAATATTTTTCAGCACAATCAAAATCTATTGGTTTATAATTATTTTGGACCGTATTTGTGTGGAAGGCCAAACAGGGTGATGCATGGAAGCCATTGAAAGTGCAGTACATGTTGATGTTGGAAACTTGCCTCGTAGTCTTTTAATTTTTTGTCACATGTTAGCTTTACACCTGAAGACGATCGCTCGTGGAAATTCACAATTCAAATACGACAGATTTTATATGTACCTAAATCACCAAACCAAAAACAAAGCAAACTTAAAGAAAAACAAAAAAACCCCAAAGAACCCCCCCCCCTCCCCTCAATGGCAACAACATAAAACAGCAACCAGAAACGAGCGCTGGTAGAGAATTTATTCCTTAACAATTACGTATAATTAAAATTAACACCATTTTCTTTTTATGAAGGTAGGCACAGTTAGCTTGCAATTTTTGGCTTGGTATTTTGATGATTACTTTTCAGAATCTTCTTCAGTTTTCAGTTATTGAGTATGATTTGACGTTACGAATAAACCGGCTCAGAGAAAGCGCAGAACCCTCTTCGGAACGAAACATTTAGAACAACGTAACAGAAATGAAGAGACTTACAAGAATAGCTCTCGAATAGTTTGCAATAACTCACATTGAGACGGCGACGCCTATATTTATAGGGCTAGACCATCGGGTCACTTGAACCTTTTTTTAAAATACTTGTTTCAGTCAAGGTTATTATCACTGAATAAAATACAGATCTTTTTATGCGAGGTAAAATGCTAATGCGTCTAGAATGATACTATTTAAATCTATAAGCACCCTTCAGTATTGTTGTATTTTTTCTTACTATCGATTGTGGAGTTTCTGGTAATTTAGGATCCGTCACGTCATCCATATAAAGCATTCTTTTTGTATTCTGGTAGCAGGTGTAAAGCTCTTGTCTGTAATAAAAACCGCTATTGTGTGACAGACGATCCTCTAACAGTAAGCATGAAACAGCTTGGCCAGGCTAATAGACATAGATCTCGAGGGAGTACATGTACTAGTACAATGCTTAAGTACTACTTCCCTTCCTTCAGATTTTGACTTCTTTGATATCTCCAATGGAGACACATCGCCAGTAGGTTTGGAATCAAAGAAGGTGCAAAGGTGTGTCTTAAAATAATATTCTGAATTAAATGGTCCACATTACAATTATACCATCACAGATTTCCAATCGTGTGTTCAAGTAAGCTGAGCTTTTGTGCCTATTTCTCGTCCTGTCGTGAAAGTAATTTTTACATTCCAGTATTGCCCTGCGATCAGTAAACCATGCTATTACTATCATATTAAGAAATTAAGGTCGTTTACGCCCCC